TCTTCCCAGTTCCAGTTCTGCTACAAGCCAAGGTCTCCCCACTAGCACCAAGACCTGAGGAAGAGGGTCAGCAAGGCAGCTCGGCAGGGAAAGGAGCTTACTGCTAAGGCTGACGACCTAACCTTGACCTCCAGGACTCACACAGTGGAAGCAGCAAATTCCCTTCCTCGAGTTATCCTCTAGCTCCACAACTGCACCATGGCACACTTGTGCATGCATTACACACACACACACACACACACACACAGAGTGAACACCAGGAGGAGGACATGAGGAATGAACACAAGCCAATGAGCGGCTTTTTGAAGACTCGGTAGCAATAAAAACCAAGGGGCATGAGTGACCCAGGGCTGCCCTTGCAGCACCTATTTCAGTCAGAGGGGTTGTAACTTCCACGCGCTCCAACACTCTAGCCTCTGCAGACACCCGCACTCACATGTACATGCCCACACACGGACGCATAGGCTTAATTAAACTTTAAAAAGGAGGGAAAAGCCAAGCACAGCGTTGCACACATATAATCCCAGCACGCAGGAAGGTGAGGGCAGAAAACTTCCACATAGCCCGGGCTACATCGTGAGTTTAACAGCAACAGAGCAACATGGTGAGACACAGACCGAAAAAACATGGGAAGTCAGGTAATGTATGGTTCTGTGGGTGAGGAGATTCACTGCACACGCCTGGAACCCTAAGTTCAATTCCAGAGAAAACAAAAAGGTCAAGAGTGGACCAGACACAAAGTTATCCTCTGCCCATACGTAGCATATGTAGGCTGTGGCATACACATGGCCCCACATACACATCCCACATGCACACACACAAAATACATAAATAAACAAAATAAAATATTAAAAGGTCAAGAGAAAAAGGAATCTTAAAAAGGAGTTGATTGGAAACAATCTGCGAGAAAGGATGCAGATCAGGCATTGACAGGAAAGGAAGACACCAAGAAAGACTAGCAGTGTGTTTGGAAATAAAGGGAAAATGGTCACAGAATTATTTTAAGTGTGCTGCCCATATATTCCGATTCACCAACACAAGCACATAACACCAAAACAAACACAAAGAAATAAAGCCTGCACCCAGAACTATGTTCCGCTCTATGCAGCACAACCACCTCACCCTGTGGTGAGAAAGGTTTGTGCCAATGTTTGAATTTAAATTGTGTCTTATTTATTCTCTTACTTGCCTTAAGAAGAGAGTGGAAGGACAATTTCAGTTCCTGAGTAATTTGCAAAACCACAAATTCATCCACAAAAATATGAAAAAGCATGACCTATAATATACTCTTTGAGAAACTGCAATCAGACCATTTTAAACCTCAAGTCTGAGTCACTTGTGGCCCTGAGTTTCACGAGAGTAGTGGTTCTGAAGGGAGGCAGTGGATCCGAGGGGAGGCAGCGGATCCGAGGGGAGGCATACCCACTTACACCTCGCATTGAGAATTTTTTTTAAATCCACAGAGGGTGACTTTGCAATACCTGCCACACCTTGTTCTGGAACAGAAGGTCACCACCTGCCTGTCTTCCCCATTTCAGGCTATATCTTAGGCCAATAATTCAGAAAACTCCCTTGGGGACCCCCCATGCCCAAAGTTTCCAAGTCAGAAGCACCTTGGGAAGCAGAATTTCTATTTCTGATTGCTTAGATCTGCTGGTTGGGGAACTCCAATTCCAGACCCAGAATCCCAGTGTTAGGAGCAGAGGCTCTGGGATAGCACCACTGGGTTATGTTCCCCCTCTACCTCTGCTATGTCAGCAGGGCTCTTAGCAAAGCTACCCAACCTCTCTAAACCCACCTTTCCAAGATCTGAGTCAAGTTCAGAGGGTTAAGGAAGAGAATGCCCAGGAAGAGCTAGGCTGGCCGGCCTGACATACTCTGTCTTCTTGTTTTACTCTGATGCTAAGGTGTGAACCCAGGACTCACATGCACTAAACACACACTGGCCTGGCAAATTCCAATGTGAGAACTTAATAAAAAAAAAAACCAGCTACTTCCTATTCAACATTTCTGTAATCACTTTCTTCCCCTAAAACACTAGAATGATTAAAATTCAACATGGACAAGATTAAAGACTGGCAAAGATAGAAAATAACCAAAACATTCACAGCAGCTTGATTTGGAACAGTCAAATGTGCACTAGAAACAAAAACAAAATGCACACTAGGGAATACTATGCAGCAATAAAAAGGGAACCACAGAAGGAAGTACACAGCATGAGATCTCCAAAACCTCCTGGGTGAGAAAGACACCGCAGTATATAATCAGTAGTGAACAATCTGAATACAAACCTATGTAAGAGGAACCAGCACTTTGCTGGGAGTAGATTAACTGGGAAGAAGTGTGAGGGGAATTTCCAGGTAATGGAAATAGTCTCTATCTTCATTTAAATGATGGGAACATGAGAGGTTACATGTGTCAATCACATGCCAAAAAAAATGTATATAGATGTCTGTATATATCAGTTTAAAAGTTTATTTAGGTTCTTTTTAAAGATCTAAATTCTGCTATAGGTGAATAATACACACACAAATCTAACTAACATATGTACATTTACAATATTTTTAGGCATTTTATAACCAACAACTGCCCTCTACACTTAAAATGAAGAAACTCCAGCCTAGTGGGTCATTTAGTCTAGTCCACAATCCACTCCTATTCCATATGCTACCATTTGCTATAGACTATTTTGGTTCACAAGTCTCTCCAGAGAACAGCCATGCAACAGAAAGAGTACAATCTTCTCACACAAGACCGTGACATTTCCACACAGACAAGTGATACCCAGAGTGACTGTGTCCCTGTAAGGAGCTAACTGGAAAGGTAAAACCCCATAAAAATATCATTTCTTCCCATAGACCACCTTAATCTACCTGGTACAATAAGACACAGTAACAAAGAAAGTCAGACACAACTACATCCTATAATTTAGATCACTCTAGAAACATGAAAAGGAAGACTGTTAAAAGGGTTCCTAAGGCCTTCTTCACTGAAATATCAACACTGGATAAGTAACTGTACCCATGTAATTATCACACGCAACAGTATTCATAATGCAGTGGATTCCAAGCCACTCCTAGCCCATTACAAGCATGTTCGGAAGCACAAACCCACTCTCTCCCTTGTGAACACTTCTGTTGGCAAAAGATAGTCCTAAGGGAAGGAGCTGACACTTGGAGGCACTACAGTCACTGTCAAATCCACAGGCATCTTTCACCGGCTACACTGAAGCAGACATACAAACAGAGAGAGAGAGAATCTTTGCTGAACAGTGGAAGAACTAACTCAGTTTCGGGCAGTTTTTTGCCCACAAGTCTTAGGACCCATTAATCACCCCAGAGTCCCTACTGGATGAGAAATCTTTCTGCTAAGTGGCCCTGAACTCAAACCTAATGAAGCTCCCAATAAATGTCTGACATAGTATTTTCTCAACGGCTCTATCAAGTCATAATCACCGGGGTGACTGGCATTAAATTCCTAGCTGGGATAGCTAAATGACTGCTCAGATTCCACACTATGACAACAACGATAGCTCGCTTCTACTGTGCACTCACGCTGAACCAACACTATTCTGCACACTTTCTGTTACGACTTTTATGAGAAACCCATGAGGATGTATTCATCAGGCAAGGCCAAATAGCAAGACCAGTTCCTGGCTCCCAACGGGACTGATAGGCCCGGATACTAGGCTACCCACACACACACTGCAGCCCTGCTCAGGTCGTCTGGAAGAGGCCTGCTGCTGAGAGGAATGGCTCAGCCCAGCATTTCCTTTGACACATTTCCTTCAGCTGTTGCCATCCTGACAGGAACATATGGCAACTTTTCAGCACATTCAACTCTGCCACCTCCTCTGGTGCCTTCATCTGGGAGAACCTGCGTCACAGCACTTGGGTGCAGGAGGGATCCCTTTAAGCACTGCAGTCATTCTCGGATGGCCAAACAGAGAATCAGCCCGCCTCTCAGACCAAACTGAGAGTGACTAGCGTACCACTGCCAGGAGGCAACAAAAGCATCTTGAAGGAATCCATTTCAACCCTACAGCCTTCTGGGGAAGGAATTTGCGTCCCCCTACCCCAAAACTCAATCCCTAGAAGTCATCCCCAAAAGTCCCTCCTCCTCCTTGCTTAATGGAAAAGGCTCATAAACTTTTAGTAGTCCTGTGACCTTGGACAAATCACTTACTGAAGGTCAGTGCCGGCTTACTAATTATAATATAGGACTTACAAAACAAGTCGATCGTATAGCACTGTTGTGAATCAGAATGAGATAATGCAATTAAACCACTTTACAGAGAGGCTCTCACAAAGTACGCAAACAATGAATTGGAACTATCAACAATCATCTTCAATAAGGACGAGGGTGCAGGAGGAGGAGGCGGCTGGGTAAACTTGGACTAGATTCGCGCCAAGAGCTAAACACCCCTTCCCCCACTGTATGTCTCCACAAGGAGGAGACACAGACGTCACCCCGCTGTGGGGTGAATGCAGCCTCCGCAGGCGGTCGGATTAGGAATCCCCAGGGGGTCATAACCGAGCCCACCTGAAGGGGTGGCAAAGTAAAGGCAATTTTGTGATGGAAGAGGTCCAATCAGTCACAAATAAACCCTTTTCCACGACCAGTTCTGGGAACATAAGCAGTACCAAGAGAACGCCACCAGCTCCGTGAGCTTAAGCATCTCATAAGGGACTGGGGGAAAGCGTCTACCTTTGCCCTGCCTCAGTCTCCCAGCTGCCTCAAAGTGCAGATGAGGCTGCGCAGCACTAACTAGGCAGCTGCGCTGAGAAGTTGGCCAAGCCGACCTGGGAAGCATCTCCGCTTTCCAGCGCAGTCCCAGCCCCTGCCCGCCACGCAGGTGGACGCGCAGCCCACAATCTCACAACTTTGCGTGTCTCTGGCCGGGGCCTCAACTTTGGCTCTTGGCACTCAGAGCAAACGGCGCCCCCTTCGGTCGCCCCTCTTTTCTTGGGCGCCCTCCCACAAGGCACGCCCCGTCTTACCTTGTCTGACGGCTCTGAAGGTGACGGCCTCCTTGCAACTGTCGATGACTCCCAACACGTCATAGCGGGGCAAGCCGGACACCCGGACCCCCTGCACCTCCAACAGCAGCTCACCTTCCACCAGCTTCGGGCCCTCGCCGCAGCCGGGGAGCCCCGCCACCTCGCCTGTCGCCACCGCCCCCACATACAGAAACTCCCCGTGCTCCGCGCCCCCCAGCACCGTCACTCCCAGCTCGCCCTGGGGTCCCCGCTTCACGATGCACTCGTGAACGCGGCCAGTCCAGTGGTTCTTCTTCTGGATCACTTTCGACATGATGAGTTTACAGCCCCTCCTCAAAAGAAAAAATAATAAAATAAAATAAAAACTGCTAAAAACGAGAGACAGGTGCCCCCACAGCACGAGCCCCCGGCGCGGCGGGCTCACGGGACAAGCATCTCTCCGAGCGCGGGAGCGAGCCACTCGATCCTCCTCGCCCGACTCACTCGCGTTCTCAAGCCATCATAAAACAAACTTTCCGGGCTCCGCCGAGAGCCCTGCACGGGCGCCCGCGAGCTTTGTTTGCATTCCGGTGCCTCCGGGTCCGCGTTCCGGCGCCGTTCGCGCTCCCGGGACCAGAGTCCACTCCGGCGCCGCCCGGGCCCGCTCTCTGCTCGGCGGCTTTCTCCACACGCGTCGCGCCTGCTCCGCGCCGGCCGGTCGCTCCTCAGCGCGAGGGAAGCCCTTTCCAAGCTAGTTGCCGGGAGCCCTGGAGACGCGGCGGCGCGGGGCGGGGGTGAGGGGACGCGAGGGAAGTGGCCGCGGCCCCTTTAAGCAGATACAAAGGCTCGGCTTGTTTTGTTACAGTTCATTCTACTCCGCTCGGCGGAGCGCGGCGGCCGACTGGAGAGGAGACGCGCGCGCATGCGCTCGGTGGCCGCCCGCGGGCAGGCCCGCCCCACTCCTCCTCCTGGAAGGGAGAGATTCCAAAGCGCCTCCCGCGGGGTCCTAAGGCCGACCCTCCATTGACGCCAATTTGCTCCTCTCCCTGCACCCCTGGAATTCCTCCTCTCCCCGTGTCGTCCGCCCAGCCAGACCCGTTTGGGGAACACGTGTGCGTGCCCCACTCCAGCTGTCTAACTTTTGGAACACAGAGAATCCGGCTTTGGTAATTGCAAATCGTTTCAAACAGGTGGGGGCTGGGAGACCAACTCAGTGCCGGGCTCACTCTCGTGCCTACCAGTTCCCTTGTCGCCCTCGGCCGGTGCCTGTCTCCCGCCACATTCCCGCGCCTGCTCCCCGCCCAGGGGTTCAAGTCCACATGCGGAGCCTGGCTCTTGTCTCTGTGACCCTAACGACCCGAACCAGCAAGTCCCACACACCCTCTCCGAGTCTCTGTCTGTGCCCATCAAACGCACCCACACGTGCGTTCCCACCCTTAAAACTTCGGGGCCAACTTTTTAGGACGAGGAGAAAACTGCCGCCGAGCAAGAAAAGCCAAAGGCTAGCGTGGCCTTCAACCCAAGAGATCTCACTAGCCTCTCATTGTCCTTCCAGCAAAGGGGTAGCGGCCAGCCCTCTTTGGCTTCTGGGGAAACCGAGAAACCGAAAAACTGCTTTTGGGAGTAAAGATCACCGCAGGGTGCGAGTCCAGCACACGCGTGAGCGGGGGCCACCACGGAATTCGCCGCCCTGAGGCGGGGTGCAGTGATCTGGGCGCTGGCGAGGTTAGGACCGCCTCCATCGCCAAGAGGCCGGCGCAGTAGTGGCCCAAGCAGTTTGTTTCTTCCACCTTTTAGTGATTTCCAACAAGTTCCTCTTTGGTCACAGAGTTGAGAATCTACTAGATCAAGGGAGTTGCGTTGGAGCCACTAAGGAGGTGAAAATGCCACTGAGGTAGGTTGAGAGAAGTCTGAAGTTCAGAGTCCTCAGGCATCACCGGAATGACAGTCAGTAAAGGGACCTCTCTGAGCTTTCACTTGCCAATGCTGGAGGAATACAGCAAACCCCACACAGTTGTTAGGAATAATACATGCACACTGGAAACTTGCAAAGTAAATAATTGTATGGCGGCATATAAAACTTCAGTCTGAGATTTAGAGGTGGGGGATCGCAGTCCTTACTGCTTGGAGGTGGAGGGTGGAGATAATCTGTCTAGAACTTTCAAGATACACACATATCTTTAAGCTCTTAAAGCCTTGTTTCTAGAGTGCTATTCTAAGCTAATGAAAATAAAAGTCTGCTTTTTCACATCTATAATCCCGGCACTTGGGAGGCTGACGCATGGGGATCAAGAATTCAAGGCAAGCCTTAGCTATACATCAAATTGTACGATAGCCTGGACTCCATAAGACCCTGTCTTAAAAAAGGTAGGGAGAAGTGGGGGAGGTGAAAAGGTCAATACTCCCCTAATTATATGGAAAAATGAGAGGAATTTCATGTCCAGCCTCTAGGGGATTTTGTGCTTTGTATTTTGTTGTTTGTTTTTAAGTGGTGATGGTGTTTTGGGGCTCGGTTGGGTTTGTTTTTGTTGTTGTTTTTGGTGTTTTGTTGTTATTGTTGTTTTAACTCTTTCAGCACTGACAAGGTCAAATGAACAATCCCTCAAACCTAACTCCCTAGCTCTAGCAGAGATATGGCCATCAGAACCTCTAAGATGTTCTAACTGGCTCTTTGTGGCTGTGATAAAATGCTAATCAAAATCAACGTGGTTGGAAAGGGTTTATTTAAAGTTAAGACTTACAACCCATCATCAAGAGAAGCCAGGCAGAAACATAAGCATAGACCGTGGAGAAATGCTGCCTGCTGGCTCGCTTCCCCAGGATTGCTTGGCTGCCATTCTTCTACTGCCCAGACCCACCTGCCCAAGGGTGTCGTCCCACACCGTGGCCTGGACCCTCCTACATCAGTTAGCAATCAAGAAAATTCTCCACAGACATGCCCTTTGTCAGCCTGACACACAAACACATTGCTATTAAACCATAATCTTTCCTTTATTTGTCCTAAGACTTCATGTTAATATTAATATCACAATCGAAAATGCACTTTAACTTTAAAAGTCCCACATCTTTAAAATTTTTAACATTTTAAAAGTTCAAGGGCTCTTAACAAAGTTAAAAAGATTTAACTGCAAAGTTAAATCTTTCTTGAAAAATCAAATCATTACAAATGAATAAATCTCTCTCTTTTTACTATTTTGTGTTGCACTATGTTTGTAACTATCTTTTGCCTGGAATAAGATGGATTGAACACCTATTCTTTCTGAGTTTGAGATTAGGTCTAACTCATTCTGTAGCCAACGACGGCTTCAAACTCACTCTTCCTTTCCTCTACCTCTAGAGGACTGGGATTGCGAAAGGATGCACCAGGCCTGGATTTGTAAGGATTCCCTTAAGTGGTGTTGGCATGTAATAATAAAGACCACAGATTTAGCAGCTTAATGCCTATGTATTTTTTGTTCACAGTCCCTTTGGGAGAGTCAACATATGACCCAATTCTCTGGAGTATGGAATCCAGGATGGCATACCCAGGCGTTTTGGGTTCCCGGCAGACTCCCAGTCAGGAAGAAGTGCCTGGTTCCTAGTACTTCATGAGTCCTTGAGTGTGTGTCACATGACTGACAGGAGATGCATTTCCTAGTCGCTGGTAGACGTGACCTTGTGCTTCTTCTTACCTCTTTATTTTCCCTTAAGACCTGTCTGCCGAAAACACCCTTACCCACATAGAACTGGTGGTCCTTCGCTTCCTGACTTCACTCTCATCCCCACATGGAGCATTCCCAGGGATCTGCACCTGACTTACAATTCCTCCCAGTGCAACTAAAAAGGTAGAGGGTTTGGAAATTAGACCAGTCCCCCTCTATTTTGTCCAGATGGGGTTTGGTTTGGGTTTTGAGATAAAGTCTCACTATTTAGCTCTGGCTAGCCTGAAAGTTATTGTATAGACCAGGTTGCCTCAAACTACAGTAATTCAACCAGCCTCTGTCTCACATGTGCTGGGATTAAAGTCGTGTACCACCACACATGTTTTTAGTTTTGTTTTGTTTGTTGGTTTTTTTGTTTTGTTTTGTTTTGTTTTGTTTTTGTTTTTGCCTGTGAGTTGTTTTGAGGATAGTCTTATATAGCCAAGGCTAACCTGGTACTTTCTATGTAGCTAAGCATTGCCTACAACTCATGATTGTCCTTGCCTCTGCCTCTCAGGTGCTGGGAATACAAAAGTACCTGCTGACTAACCACATCTGACTAAAATACATACCTATATACATACATACATACCATACAAACATACATCTTTAATTTTTTCAATTTTGTTTTATGTGTATGGGCATTTTGCCTGCATGTATGTTTGTGCACCACTTGAATGTCTGGTGCCCATGGAGGCCAGAAGAGGGCATCATATTCCCTGGAACTGAGGGTCCAGACAGTATGAGTTGCCCTATGGGTACTGGGAACCAAACCTTGGCCCTTTGAGGGAGCAGGCAAGGCACTTAATTGCAGAGACATCTCTCCAGTTCAGACAGACAGCTGGGTTTTTCAGTGCTGGATTTCAAACACCCAGCATTGTGTATGCTAGACACCTACAATCCACACCTAAGGTAAGGTAGTAAGTGTGGAATGACCCAGGAGAAGGCAGACCTGGGAGCCTTGAGGGCAGTATGGAGGAAATATAGTGCAGTCAGGGTTGGAAATTTCCAGGTACTGAGTTTCACAGGTGCCTACTGACCCTTCTCATCCACTCTGTTTCACATGGTCTCGTTCCCGTGCTCACGGGGGAAGCAACTTCAGAGCAGAAAATACATCTCTGATATCCAACCTTAGAATTCATGGTTCACGGCGAATGTCCTGGTGCCATAGTTAGGGTGTCTAATGCTATGATAAAACACCATTATCACGAAACAGTGAGGGGAGGGAAGGTTTATTTCAACGTATGAACTCTCAAGTCACACTCCAATGCTGAGGAAAATCAGAGCAAGAACTCAAAGAAGGCAGGAGCTGATGCAGAAGCCATGCAGGATTGCTGCGTACTGGCTTGTTCTGCCTGCTTTCTTATGGCATCCAAGACCATCAGCCCAAGGGTGGCACTGCCCACAGTGAGCTTGGCCCTCCCACATCAATCATCAATCAAGAGAATGTACCACAGGCTTGCCTACAGGCCATCTGGTGAGAGCATTTCTTCACTGAGGTTCCCTCTTCCAAAATGACTCTATCTTGTGTCAGGTTGCTCTGACACAATTGACCCTTTCTCATCTTGACTCAGAAACACATCGCTGTTAAACTAAAACCATTCCCCTCATTCATCCACAAGATCTCAAAAATAATATCGCAATATAAAGCAGTCCAACTTTTAAAAGTCCCAGTCTTTACAAATTAAAACGCTTTAAAAGTTGAGTCTCTTTCAGACACTCAAAAGTCTCTTTCAAAATTCAAATTCTCTAAAATATTCGTAGCCTCTTTAAAATAGCCAAAGTCTCTTCAATGTCTCTCAAGTCTGGGCTCCTGTAAAATCAAAATGAGTTAAAAGCTTCCTTACTTCAAGGATGAAGAACCAGGGCACCATTACAATCTGAACAAAGCAAAAAACTGCAACAGCGCAAATAACTCGGTGTTTGGTTTCTGGGACCCGCTCAACAATCCTCTGCCCTCCAAAGGGCTTTGGCCAGCCATGCTTCTCTAGTTCTGCTATTCACCTGGGAGTCTCCTAGGCTCAGGCTGACTCCACTCCACCTATAGCTGGCCTTGGTGGTTGTTCCTGGTATTAGCATCTGCAGAAACTCTAGGGACACTATTGTCATCTGGGCTGCACCTTCACCAGTAACCTCTCCGGGGATCTCTTCACAGACTGATCCTACTGCATGATGCCAACTCGCAAACTCTCTCCATGACCCCTGCAATCCTCAGGTTTTCACTGCTACTGAGGCTGCACATTCACCTATGGCCTGGCCTGGCCCCTTAAGGTGCCA